ACCCAGCCTGTGGCTTTCAGAGCTGTGGGCAGGGCCTCCTGGAATGCCCGATACTCAGAGTCTCGTGAGGAAGAACTACTAAGCCCAAGGCTGCCATGCCCCGGGGCCAGCCCTCAGAGAACAGTATGTCATCAGCAGAAGGGACCAATGACCCAAAGTTCTCTGCCCTGGGCAAGGAGCAAAGCATTCTCCCACCACACAGTTTAAATCACATTTTCTTTTTCCTGGGTGTTTTGAAGCTTGGCGTGAATATCTAGGAGTGCTTTTTGGGATCCTCTGATGAATGGTGCAGTAGAAGTGGAAAGCATTCCTATCAACACAGCAAATATTAACAGCAGAAGTACCATGACTAGGCAGAACATAGATGCACATTTCAAGTAATATTCCTAAGAGAACTATTTGAGTAAGTGTGCACGAGTGAGGAGAGAAGTTGATCTCCAAGGAGAAATAAAGAAAGTGAGTTCAGCTAAGTAAGAGACTGCACTACTCTGCTGCCCAGTGGAAGTCGTCATGTCCATGCACACCGATGCTAAAGCCAGACCCAAAGGCTTCTCCTCCAGTGCCAGCTGCACAAACTGAGTTGCTCCTGGGCTTGCTGCTGTACAGTAGCACACAGGCTCTAGCTACACGCCAGCCTGGCAGCCCAGAGGAATGCCCTGACACCAACACAATCTGCCCATGGTTGAAAGGTGCCTGGGTGACACTGGAGCAGGCCAGAGCTGGGGGAGGGAGGGAAGACAGGGGACAGGGTGATGCATGTCAGGCAGGGTTTTTCACCACCCTGGGACCTGGGATTTTTGCTGGCAAGAGTAACCAGCTAGGCTGAATTTAGAGCAGTTTCCTAATTAGTCCCTAGAAATAACTGGAGTTAGAAATTAATAATAACTACCGGTTAAGTATAAACGACATTCCAGGAATAGTGCTAAAGGTAACCCCTACATTTTATGCTTTATTCTCCAAAACTGTGAGGTAGTACTGCCCTCTCAATTCTACAGACAAAGCTCAAGAGAGGTTAAATGACTTGTCCAAGGCAATACAGTTAGTAAGTGACAAAGGTAGAGTCTGGATGCAAGACTTTTAACTCCAAATGTGTGTTTTAAGTACAATGCTATGTGTTCTCCACATGATCAAAAGCAACCATTAGGGGTAGGTGCAGTGGCTCACGCCTGTAATGTGGGAGGCCGAGGCAAGAGGGTCACTTGAGCTCAGGAGTTTGAGAGCAGCATGAGCAAGAGTGAGACACTGTCTCCACTAAAAATACAAAAATTAGCTGGGTGTGTGCCTGTAGTCCCAGCTACTTGGGAGGCTCAGGCAGGAGGATCCCTTGAGCCCAGGAGCTTGAGGTTGCTGTGAGCTGAGGTGATGTCACTGCACTCTACCCAGGGTGACAGAGGGAGACTCTGTCTCACACACACACACACAAAAAAGCAACCATTAGGGCTCTTAAATTCTGTTGTTCTCCTGGCTATTACAGACCTGAACACACTGCATCCAGAAAGCTACTGTCAAAGAGAAGGTAGCAAACTGCTTTTTTCCAGTTATATTACTCTATTTTGGGTCTGTGCCTACAAGTGGATCTTAACCAAAGGAAGAAGTACTTTTAAGACAAGGAGATGTGCGCTAGGGTTTGTCTTGCCCACCCCAAGCACTGATCCCAGGCCCACGTATTTGGTGTCTCTTTCGGACTGTCTCTTGTTTTTTCCCACTTTCCAATCTACTTTACACTGTGGACCTTACACAACTTGAAAAACTTGTTTGAAAATCTCCAGTAGCTCCCCATTGCCTCCAGAATAGTCTTCTGGGACAGCAAAAGCCCTTTCCCTACTGGGCAGCCACTTCCCCTGCCCCTTTCTGCCAAGCTCCTTGTGGCCCAGGCCGTGCTGCATCACTTTGTGTCCCGAACACGTTGTGCGCTTTGAACCCTTACTGTTATTATTAGCCCTTGCTAGTCCCTGTGTCTGCAATGGCCTGGACTTACCACCTTCTTTCTCCATCTGGCAAGTGGCTAGCCTCCAACGCCCAGTTCCAATGTCCCTGCTTCTCCCTTCTTCTAATAAAGTAGAATTTCTTAGTTCACTCACCTGGCCTCTTGTGGCACCCAGTACACAGGTATATTATGCCACTTACTATCAATTATATTACATTTTTCTGTACAGCCAGATTCTGTTCCCCATTACACAGTTAGGGCCAGGGCAGAAACCACTTCTTACATCTTTGTTTCCAGAGGCCCTGGTGTACAGCAAAGCCGCAATGAGTGTCCGTCCGCAGAATAAACAGATGCATTCACGCATGAAAGAACTCGGCTCACACAGCACCATGACTGGCGATGATCCTAAAGAAAGAACCCCACCAGTACGTGGGTGGTTGGGCTAGCTGGGCTTCACATTACTTCTGTGCACACATCCCCAACACAGTCACTTCGCAAGGAAATAGAGAACCCCACCTTGTCCTCTAAAAGGGGCAGACAGCAATCTGAAATTTCCATCAGAGCACCTTTGCTTTTCCCTCTCTTAAAGAGAGAAAGTTTTGTTTGTAAAGGGGGGAAAAAAAAACCTCTGTGATGCTAAAAATATAGTTTAAAAAACCTCGGTTAGATGGCCTAGTCCTTTATTACGTCACGCCCACGTGTCGATAAGAACTGCTTCCTAACTGGTTTCCCAGCCTCTAGGCTTTTCTTCCTCCATCTACCTTGCATACTGCTGCCAGGTGAACTTTTCAAAAATATTTAAAAAATGTTATTTGAATTATAAAAGGTTTATATGTAACATGTTAGTTATGAAGAATAATTCTATAAATGAATATAACCAACCAACTACCCAACCCAACAACTGGAACATTAACAGTAGCTGTATATACCTCCCTTATTCCAATCCCCTACCTAATACCCAGAGCTAATTGCTATCTTCAACTTTGAATTTTTTATTCCATTTTTTAAAAAAGAATGTCGTTTTTCACAAGTATATATGTGCTAAACACTATATTGTCAGCGTTCCTGATTTTGGAAGTCTGTAAAGGTAGTTACTATACTGTGTATGTCTCTTGGGACATGCTTATTTCACTCAGCATTATAATTCCAAGATTCGTCCATGTCAATGCTATCAATCAGTTTATTTTGTTGCTGTATAGTAGTATACTATGTGCCCAAACCACACTTATCTGTTCTCCTGCCAACCAGCTCTGATTGTTTCCAACGCTTTACTACTGTAAGTGATGTGTCTATGAACATTCTTGGTGCACAAGTGTATTTGTGCATTTCTAGAAGTGGGATGTTAGGTTATAGGTTATAAAAATGTTCAACTGTGTGAAATAATGCCAATGTTTTTCAAAGGAGCTCTAATAGCCAGATAAATTTTCCCAAAATACCACTGCTTTGCCTGCTAAAAAAAATTCAGTGTAAGCACAACTTGTAGGATAAAATCCCAACCTGACAGTCCACGCCAGTTATGGTCTGGCCCCACCTGCATTCCACCCCTTCTCTCTTATAGGCACCCAAAAGCCCCTCCCACTTCAGTTGGGCAGATCTGTTCCCTGGCGTAGAGCATACCTTGCTCATTTTGAACAGAGCAGCCCTGATCCTTCCTCATTTCTAGTCTGCGACTCCCACCCTCCATCCCTGCCCCTCCATTCTCCTCTTTTATGAAACTTACCCTGATCACACTTGCCCACAGAACTCTCTCACTGACCCCCAGCTCCTAAAATACCTACTTTCTGCACTGGTTGGGACAGCAGTCTTCATCTTCACCCACATCTTAGGAGATATGAGTTTTATGTTGCCTTGTTAGAAAAATAGACATTCTAACTAAGCTGTGTCATTGGATTTATTTCAGAACTCAGCATTTTCAACTTCAGTATTTGGTACCTTTCTCACCACTGCCTTGATGATGGAAGTCCAGAGAAAGATTAATTTTGGATTTCATGTTTTCCCACATAATATAACTTGACATTGATTTCGTCTGTTTTGCAGACCACAGACTGGATAACTTATAAGGAAAAGAAATGTATTTCTTACAGTTCTGGAGGCTATGAAGTTTAGGATCAAAGAACTGATATCTGGTGAGGGTCCTCTTGCTACACCATAACATGGTGGAGGGCAGTACATGGCAAGACACAGCAAGAGCGTGAACAAGAGCATTCAGGTCTCGTTTCCTCTTATAAAGCCACCAGTCCCATCCTGGGGCCCCACCCTGATGACTTTATCTAATGTTAATTTCTCCCAAAAGCCCCACCTCCAATCAACATAAGAACTTGGGAATTAAGTTTCCACCACATGAGATTTGGGGACCCATTCAAACCACAGCAGACATGATTATGTTTCACTTTCCCAATTAAATTATAAGCATCTCAAAGTACAGAGACCATCTTTTACATTTCTTTGTATTCTTCACAACATTTAACATAGTCTTATGTGTTCAGTAAGAACTCAATTCAACAAATATTTAACACTTTAATGAATACATGAAAATGTAGAAGGTTACATATCTGTTAGTAACACAGAATCTAGATGAAATTAAAGAAATAAAACTGAAAGGTTTTCTTTCCTGATAATGAAAAAAGTGTCTCTCAAAAAAAGTATTCAGAAGAGCCAGGCCTTCTACTCTTATCCATTCTTTCTATAAAATTATATTTTTTAAGT